TACAAACACGTCTTTGTACAGTGATTAAATCGATTTAGTAACATAACATGTTTACTTAATATATACGTAATAATCAGCACGTGGACACGCGCAACTCCTTAGTGTTTGAAATTAGAAGGATATGCGTTAACATTTTAGTATACACTGACAGATAGACAGAAGTGTTTATTTAATGAACCTTGTAACATCAAGTGGAGCACATTACGTCACAAATGCAGTTATGGCGGCCAAATCTCACATCTCACAGGAATGTATATATTTTTTATATTGTGACCACATTGGTAAACTCCACCCGTATCAATATTACAAAGAAAATTATGTATGAATCAGTTATTTTGTATTTGTCTGAAAAAAGTAGTTTACGTATCTTGATAAATATAAAAAAAAACGACCAACTATTCCCTGTTTTGTTCTGTAAAAGGAAATGAAATCAACAAGCCAAATTTTGGCGAGAGGTGTCTATCTTGCGGAGGTTCGAACTTTGTACCCATAGGAATTTTCAAGTAATGTACTATTTAAATTAAAGAGCTCGTGCAATTAAATCAGCCAAACAGCGTCCGTTTTGATATATTTGTAGTTCCAACAGAAAATTACTTCCGGTTAAATAACTGTGCCCCTTCGTAATTTAAATTTTGAATTGGTGTCAAGTTTTTAGATGAATAAAATCTACATGTATTTAACTTTAACTCTAAAATTATTTAGCAATATCACATATGGATATATTGGAGCGGATTGATAAAGGAAAAAAGTGGAGGATTTCCCCTTTTTGGGTCATTTCCTATTGTTAACTTCCGGTTGTAAAAATTTGGAGCCTGTCACATTGTAAAATGCAATTAAACATACTTAAAAAACATGTGTATCATTTAATTTTTACATGGATGTCAGCATCTATGAATTCAGACAGTTGTTACTAAAGTTTAACTTTAAATATAAAGTTAGTAACTTAAATGCATATTTAGCATATAGCGATTTATTGAGCGAGTCTTTAAAAAGGATGTTTTTTGTGGATGGGAGTTTAATAAAAGCATTTGAGTAAAGTAATTTACTGTAAATGTAAGGAATAGTTTATAAGAATATGAGTTTGATCAGGTTATGAGCATTCGGAATAACCTGAGTTCTTTCTTCTAGACGTCCCAGATGAGGTTAAGAGCCAACAAAAAATAAATACTACTGATTCCGTACAATACGGTGTAACGACCTGTATTAAAAACAAAACATTCTTGATTAAATTTTAAAATGTCAAACGAAACAAAAACCCACTTAACGTATCAAGTTTACCACTTGACTTATCAGGGGAATGCATCTATTTGATATGAAAGCCCAAGGGCTGATACGTGTGGAAGGTTCGAGGGTTGTTAGATACCTATCCATTGTTAGATGCCAGGTACAATGTATATATCTCTATTGTTAGATACCAGGTAAAATGTATATTTCTATTGTTAGATACCAGGTACAATGGATATCTATATTGTTAGATTCCAGTTACAATATATATCTCTTTTGTTAGATACCAGGTACAATGGATATCTCTATTGTTAGATACAAGGTACAATGGATATCTCTATGGTTAGATACAAGGTACAATAGATATCTCTATTGTTAGATACAAGGTACAATGGATATCTCTATTGTTAGATACCAGGTACAATGGATATCTCTATTGGTATATACCAGTTACAATGGATATCTATATTGTTAGATACCAGGTACAATGGATATCTATATTGTTATATACCAGGTACAATGGATATCTCTATTGTTATATACCAGGTGCAGTGGATATCTTTATTGTGAGATACCAGGTACAATGGATATCTATATTGTTAGATACCAGGTACAATGGATAACTATATTGGTATATACCAGTTACAATGGATATCTCTATTGTTAGATACCAGGTACAATGGATATCTCTATTGTTAGATACCAGGTACAATGGATATCTCTAATGCTAGATACCAGGTACAATGGATATCTCTATTGTTAGATACCAGTTACAATGGATATCTCTATTGTTAGATACCAGGTACAATGGATAACTCTATAGTTAGATATCAGGTGCATTTCATACACATTATCTCTATTGTTAGATCTCAGGTGTATTTCATACACATTATCTCTATTGTTAGGTATCAGGTGCATTTTATACACATTATCTCTATTGTTAGATATCAGGTCTATTTCATACACATTATCTCTATTGTTAGATATCAGGTGTATTTCATACACATTATCTCTATTGTTAGATATCAGGTGCATTTTATACACATTATCTCTATTGTTAGATATCAGGTGTATTTCATACACATTATCTCAATTGTTAGATATCAGGTGCATTTTATACACATTATCTCTATTGTTAGATATCAGGCAGGCGCGTAGCTACCATGTAAGCCAATAAGCCCGGGCTTGCACATGATTTTGACAAGTATAGGTTTTCATGACGGTTTTTTTCTTGCTGATACTATAAAGTGGAGTTTAAGTTTTGAATATATAGTATACAAATGTAATTCCTCAGATATGATACATTGTTAATAGTTAGTACAAAAATGTATGAAGTTTAGAAATGTCCATTGCATTAATGGACAGTTCCAGGCGGAACTAAACTGCTCGATTGAGTAAATTGAGAAACTCACGACCGGCGCAAACGACTCCGTGTATGGCACAGTGGACACAGACAATCAATGTTTTTTTCGGTAATAAACCAGAACAACGCTATAAAGATAGAGATCACATTATCTTACAGAGGAAATTATCTGCATCCAGCAACAAAATTAATAAATCGTTAACTTGTCAGTCAACTATACATTTTTGTTTTTGTATTCAATGTTTTCGTGTAAAATTCCGGATACATTAAGTCAATAACCGTGTTTGGGTTGCACTTTTTCAAAAGGCATCAGATCTGGCAGACACATTTGACGTCCAACCGTCTATGCCCAGAATGGCCGGCAGACAGAGCAACAGGGCAACTGTTCCTGCCGACAATCCAAATGAGTATTGGAAACGGTCCCTGTACTTACCCTTCCTTGACCATTTGGTTCAAGAGTTGACCGGCAGACTGCTTGGTGGGGAGGTGCAGGACAGATCCCTTGCCCAGTATCTCGTGCCCACATGTCTGCAACAAATCACGCCCGACATCATGGACCGCCTATTCACGGCATTTATTCTACATCTTCAGGGTCGTGAGATATTTGAAGAGGAGATTAGGCGATGGACTGTGAGATGGAACATTCCAAACACCATCAAACCTGCTTCTTTGCATGAAACGCTTCCAGTAACTAACCGCGAGCTGTACCCTTGTGTCTGGACGATGCTCGCAATACTGGTAACCATGCCAGTCTTCACATCGTCAGCAGACCGTTCATTCAGTTCCCTCCGCAGAGTGAAGACGCACCTACGTTGCACAATGGGACAGGGGCGTCTTTCGTCATTGTCAATTCTCCATATTCACCGAGATATGCCAATTGACATTGATGCTGCGATAGAGGAGTTCCTTGCTGCCAAACGTAGGAAAGGACACGTTAGAATCTAAATAAATGACGAAAACTGTCTTCTGGAGCCTGCCCAATTACAACACAACAGAATTTTAAAAAATCACGGTGCTTTGTATTTTTATACTTTGTCAGATTGCGCATAATTGCGCATATAATGGACGTATATAAAACTAAACTTTAATTTTCTTCCATTTCCACAAAATGTTTATGAAACCAGAAGACGAAACGGTGTGGGAGACTGCAAAGCTGGGCATGACGATGATAGTGGGGGCAAAATCGCTTCTCGAAATGCCCAACAAATAACAGGAGCAAGTATAAGGAACCAGTAACAAAGCACAAACAGAAGACTAAACTGTGTGGGAGACCTCGCTTCTCAATTAACTCGGATCAGATTATGAGAAAGACAAACCCAATTGCATGTTCACTAATGCAGAAGTATCAAATGCATTTATCAAGATTAGGTAAAAACCAGACAATGTATGTATGGAGGGTGTACAAAGCAATACCGACGGTTAATCTTCGGAATTACACTGGATCCACGTATATAGGTATATATATATACACAAAAAAGGGGTTTTTTGCGCATTAAAACGAGAAAACAGACATCAGGTCGTGGGAAATGGCTCCTGAGACGTTCTAGAAAACATTTTTTTATGGGGGAGACCCCCCAGACCCCCCTTACGGGAGGGGGAAGACACCCTCCCGTACCCTCCCCCTGCTCGCGCTTGGCGCTTCGAGCCTCGCGCTTCGGGGGGACTGTCTTCGGCAAATACCATGTCGGGCTTACACATGGTAAAGGGGCTAGCTACGCGCCTGTCAGGTGCATTTCATACACATTATCTCTATTGTTAGATATCAGGTGCATTTCATACACATTATCTCTATTGTTAGATATCAGGTTCATTTCAAACACATTTTCTCTTTTGTTAGATATCAGGTGCATTTTATACAGACTATCTTTATTGTTATATATCAGGTTCATTTTATACTCATTATCTCTATTGTTAGATATCAGGTGCATTTCATACACATTTACTCTATATTTAGATATCAGGTGTATTTCATACACATTATCTCTATTGTTAGATATCAAACACACTGGATGTCTCTATTTTAAGACTATCATGAACAGAGTATATATTTGTTGTTATATTATGAACACTTGATGTATAGTCACATGATCATTATACCGCATATCTCTGTTTGTATGGATAGTGAGTATCTCTTTTAAATCATTTTACACACCAGAGAGATATAATTTTAGATAACAGTTCTCATCCGATATCTATAATGTAAGATTTCCATAAAATATCGGAGAAATCTTTTAATAGATCACCACGTGCTTCGGATATCGTTACTATGCATTAGACTAGAAAAAAATGCCTCTTTTTTGTATAAAATATCATAGAATAAGTTAAATGTGAAATCTAATGCGACATATATAGGAATATATACACAGTCTGTGTATTTAAAACAAATATATTAAATGAACACAGACCACAAGCTGAAACGGACTTGAATTCACTTTTTTAATTTCATGATATAACGCATAGGGAACATTCAAGTAAAACACTGATGATGACGTCAATGATGACGATGTAACTTTTATGATCAGACAGTCTCTGTTCAATATAACAATGTCCCTTCATGACATATTTTGCAATAACAAAAAAAATATTACGTCACTTCCGGATAGTCTTTACTAATACCAAAGCCCGAAACGTCACTTATTTACACCTTTACAAAACAACTTACGAACCTCAAGTCGGAATGTCCCATCAAATAGTCCGTATATAAAAGGATTGGCTACATGGTTCAAGATGTATAGCTGGAACAGAATTATATACAAAGACCTTTTACCGTTCGTATACTCCGTCCAGAATTCCTCAGAGTCGATGTTTTGAATAATATTTGCCGTTAGTGACGGAACATATGTTGCGACACACACTGCGGCTATCAGCATAAACATGAGCGTGTATCTGTGCTTTTCGAGAGGACTCCGACGAGTTTTTTTCTTTTTACTCGATACCTTTCTGTTATGAGTTTTGAGAGACGCCACGTGTGAATCTGGAGACGTTACCAAAGCATCGGTTACTATGTCAACGGTGCCGTTCTCTTCCGGTGTGGAATACTGGGATGAGAGAGAACTAGGCATAGACGATTTGCGCTCCCTTTTACGCCTCACTTTTTCGTAAATCCGCTGTCCTATTAAAGAGTAGAGTATTACGATGGACAACAAAACTAATCCTGCTGAAGCGAACATGAAGTAAAAATAACTCATTTGGGCCCTTGTCAGCGCCTCGTCTTGGTTGTCAATGAGACCACATCTTTTTCCAGTTACATTTCTCCTCGGATTGTGTAGAGTTATCTCCCCATAAAATATGATTAAAGGCGTGTGCATGAGACATGACATCGCCGCAGCGCACGCCACCAAAACACGCTTCCACACTGACGTCATTTGTCGGCCGAATGGTCTACATACTTTCAGGAATCGCTGTAAAGCAATTATCAGGATAAGTAGACCGGAAGTTGTACTTATTGTTCTTGTACAGAACCAAGTCACCTTGCATATAATATTTCCACTGGAATTTACCGGAAGCAAGTTCCGCCATAAAGCGAATGCAGGGTTTGCACAGCATACAATGGTGTCCATTATTCCCAAAACGAGGATGAAAAATCGGTCGTCCATACCAATCTTTAGTCGGAATCCGTAGATAAAGACGACAACAGCATTTCCAACGACACCTAAAACTATGTACAGACACAAAATAACATCCAGGGCAATTAGAGATTTGGAAAGTTCGCTGTTCCATTGCAAAACATCCCCAGTCAAAATCAGTGTTTCATTCATGATAGCGTATATTCCGGGGTAACTCTACGTTAGAGGCAACAGCCGTGCGATGTACAAACACTCGAATTATTATGAGTTAAAGTGGCGATCATCAACAGTACATAAATAAATACACCGATGATGATGACTATTTAATTATAAAGACTGTAGGACTGTTGTCTGAGCGTGATATCGTCCTCTTGTCTCTCACACCCACTTGTCCCTTTATAAAACGGAATTCGAGCGGATGTTCAAGCATGAAGAGATATCTGCTTGTAAGCCAATGTACGTGCGCTTCAAATCCTACAATTGCAACAATACACTCGTATTTAGCACTCCGCCGCTTTCTACCGGAAGTTACACACCAGGCTGCGTTAATGATACTGAGATTGCTATGTAATATCATGTATATTTTTCTGTTCGGCGTGCTTATCGCTTACGAGGAAGAACCGCTGTACACCATCCAATGGTTGACTTTTGATATGATCTTCAATTGTTATATATAAATCAACGCAGTTGATACGAGTCCCACCTACCAGTCCTCGCGCTCACGCGCCAAATATATTAATTACTTAGAACACGATACAATTGGGAAGCATTTATCGCTCAGAGGAAATAGTTTAGCGTTCGGTTACTTTGTGCTGGACTGGTTCTCTTTGCTTGATTAGCGTGTATTGTAGTACATATCTGTACACAATAACGAAATTACTGCCATGTAATATTCACACAGGGAAAACTTGGTGATGGTTCAATATTCGAGACAGTATGTGCGTCAATTACAATATTATACGCGTTTTAAATGAAAACTTCCCGATAATGTAGCAAATACATGTCATGATTATGACTCACCTGTGTATCAGGCGAAAACTCGCTTTGTTTCAGGTTACACAACAGGAAAGCTATAGGGAAGGTTGGTAGGCATTTTTTTTATTTTTTTTGTGTTTGTGTGTTGGGGGGAGGGGGGGGGGGTCGTTTATTTAAGAAATGACAAAAATCACTAAACATAGATATTCAGACCAATGGTATATATTTTTCGACGTATCTTTAGGTCTTTAATTTTATGAGACTGAAATTTGGCTTTGATACCTGCCTACAAAATAGTAAGGTGTCATAAGAATGCTTTACCTGAAACATACATTTGTTCAGCCTCAATATTAAACACTAAGTCTGATTGACTACAAGATACGATTCATGTAGGATAAGTTAAAATGCAATGTTTATATTTTCACCAACTGACCACGGGAAAAATCGAACTATTAGAATCCAAATTTCTGATACGTTGATAATACCTGGTTAAAAAGGGGTCTCAACATTGCTAGTGACATAAGCTAGATATATCGTCGGCTCAAACTCTGAGGGCTGTATTGCATATCGCTGTGTCTCCAATAAATAGAGGATCTTACATTCGTGTCCATGTCATATTGATTCATTAAACTCCAATATAACAAGGGACACGAATGTAAGATTCTATTTATCACATAACATTCGTAACTTGAAAAGTGACTTTAGACGCAATCAGTTGTTATCAGTTCACTCTTTAAAGGTAAAAAAAAAAAAAAAAGTACTCCGATCTTAATTTGACTTCCCGCGCAAAGTAGTTCCAGATTATAATTCGTTAAAGGCCCATCCACACAAGGGAAATCATTATGACCCAAAAAAAATCTATTATTTCGATAATCAATAATCAACATATTGTTAATTTACTTTTTATAATGATAGGCACTTTTGCTGTTATTTCCTCTATCGTCGCTGTTCTTTGCAAAAATGTGTTTCACACTTTTATACTGATAACTCATACAGTGATGGGTGTATGCATACGTTTCTATCTTTATCAAAAAACAATACACATTTACGATGTAAGATCGTATAGGTGATTTGGTTCTAAAGCTGGATGGTCCGAGCTGGTATAAAGTATTACGATACACTGACAGTGTGCATATATATATATATATATATATATATATACATTCTTGATGTTTGTTCTGTACATAAATCTACCAACTGAAAACAACTGCCATTTGACTATGAATACACTCTATGATCAGCCAGCCGATTTCACACACAACAACCACTTCATATTACTACGCATAGTACCGTTTCTGATAATAGTTATCTCCTCTTCCTCGAGATATTTCAAAAATCCTGATTTGTTGACACATTTATTTATCTATAAGTATTTTTGCAAAAAAGTGATCCGATTTCGGTACTGATCCGATTTGGGTACTGCCTCCTTAGGCTAAAACCCAAACGTCGGGCTGGGTAATCCCCGTGACATCAACTTGCACATTAAACTCAGAGAACTTTGTAATGACACAGAACACTTTATCCACCAACTTATCATCATTTACACATCCAACGGCTGTACCTACTGACGACGGGTGCTCGGCCGACGATGATATGCGGTGCAAAAAAAACATCAAATAAAATCATCTTTCAAAAATGAAAGGAATATCAAGTGTTGGTTATTATTAGATTCTAGATATATCTTTTCGTTTCAAGAAAATCAGTTGATCTGCGGAAGTCGAACATTTTAAGTTCGTGTGTAGGCTGGAGTTCTGGCTGTTTCTTTTTTATGGTTTTCTGACCGACACTCATATCAAAAATATTAAATCTACAAAAAGTGTTATAACTTTTTTTTATTGTAGTTCATCGTAACGTAAATAATATGAATTGTTAACGCGCTCCTAAAAAGATATGTAGATCAGCTACTGCTATTCATTGCCGCAATGAACATGAAAATAAAAGCCATTCAATCCCTATATATACTAGTATATATAGAAAAAAATAGATTAACGACCGACTGAAAAACTAGCTGCTTTCACCCTTCACAGGGCTCTTCAGGTTTATTCAAAATTATTATTTTGATTAATTGGTCTTCTTTCTTTTCTCTTAAAATAGTGTCTGATGAAAATAGATGATACAAAGGTAATACAATAAATTTATTTCCAGCACAGTCATGAATATGTTTGTTAATATATAGATTTCGTAAAGATTCAGTTCTAGTTTGTTGTCTATGTACAGTCATGCGTGTTCTGGGTTCATTACTGGTTTGATCGATGTAAAAATCACTACATTTAGAACAAACTATTGCATAAATTACATTTTTTTATTTACAATTCATATCTACCTTCACGGTAAATTTCAAACCATTCTTGAAAATAAAAGTATTACATTCGATAATCATAGGACATGTAGCACATGTAGCACATCTTGGTGTCTTACATTTGGATGTTTTACGTCCTATTAACAGCTATGGACATTTTAAACTGCCAGATTTTTGGTGATGAAGGAAAGCCGGAGTTCCTGGAGAAAATACACCGACCTGCGGAAGTACCTGGCGACTGCCCCGCGTAGGTCCCGAACCCGCGACCCAGTGGTGGAGTGCTAGTTGTAGCAGAATATCAGACGCCTTTTTTTCATAAACAAAAAATGATTATCCCATACATAGGGCATCAGGGGTCGATGCCCCTAAGGTTCCGCACAGTGCAACAATAAATATCACGATAAGCACCACAAATATATCACAGATCTGTAAATTGTCAGACGCCTTAACCACTTGGCCCCCGCGGCCCTACACGTGTTCGTGTATATGCAAGAGTCAACAGAGATATACTTTTAACATATGTGAGAGTTTGGGTATCAAATAACCAACCATTAATCAATAAAATATTTCATACCATGGTCACACATTTTTACAATGTTTCAAGTTTTTATATTTTGTACAGAAGTACCCCAAAATACCGGTTTATGAGATACTATAATCAGCATTCAATATTGGAATGTCTAAGCATAATTTTGTTATCACTTGTGTGCATGTTTTCTTCTATCAATTTTTTTGAAAGAAAGATGAAAGAATCCCGTAAAATACATCACTCGCAATACTTGGCCTACATGATTCATATTGATAAATTCCTTGACATCACAGTAAATTTTAAAATGTGTTTCATCTTCTAAAGCAGTTAACTGACGATGTTTAAATAGTCTTTTGTCCAATGGGACTTGAAGATTACAGTATATCCCGGTTTCTACCGCCAATGGCAGTTTACCGCATCTGCAAGAACTAAAAGTTCTTTTTTTTTATTTAATACGGTTGCTTTTAACTGTGGTCTTAGTGACTGGCATCATATGATTGGGACTGTTCTTGCAGGGAAATGTAAACCAGTTGTGAAAGAAAGGAAATTTAGGTGTTTTAAAAATTCGATGAAAAACACTTTCAGTGATGATATAAGTAAAATCCCTTTCCATGCAACTTATGCTTTTGATGATGTTGATGATATCTTTTGGGCCAATGAAAAACTTATTGATGACCATGCTCCTGTAAAAGAAAAAAAAAGAAAAACAGAAAAAGTGTCCATTTTTTAATTCGAACTTGCGTAAAGCTGTGTATAAGAAACGTATGCTTTTTAACAAATATATTGGTTGCAAATCAGCCTCTAATTGGGAAGCGTATCGTAACCATTGAAAGTATGTGTCTAAATTACGTAAACAATGTTTTTTCGAACGCTGTGCAGGTGATCCCAAATCAACAGATTTCTGGCCGACCATTAAACCATTTTTATCGAATAAGAGCTCTGCACAATGCAAAAATGTAATTTTAAAGGAAGATGGGGCCATTATCAGTGATCAAACAGAGGTCAGCAGTGTTTTTGATAATATTTATGTAAATGTTACTTCTGATATTGGTACAGAGGATTCTTCTGATGAAACTATTTTAAGAGAGATTAGGGCTCACAATAATGACGAGTCAAAGTTTTGTTTTAATCATGTTTCTCCTTTCTTAGTTGAAAAGGCTATATCTAAGGTGAAGGCGAAGAAGGCCACCGGTACCGATGGCATGTCTTCAAAACTCCTTAGAGCCTGTTGTACAGACATCAATGTGCCTCTGAGCGATATGATTAACCACTGTTTTGATAAAACAGAGTTAACTTGCAGACTAAAGGAGGCACAGGTAGTGCTTGTTTTAAAGAAAAAAGAATATATTTAAGATTAACAAAACTACCGACCAGTCAGCATTTTACCTTGTATATCGAATTTGTAGAAAGAACCATGTGTGATCAACTGGCTGCCTTTTTTACTAATGTTTTTCATCCTTTCCTTGCAGCCTTCCGACCAAGATTTGGGTGTCAATCCACCTTGTTACGACTTGTTGAGGTTTTGCGTAGAGCCCTTGACAACCATGAGTGTGTCACTGCCATAATGATGGACCTCTCCAAAGCTTTTGACTGTCTTCCTCATAATTTGTTGGTCGGGAAGCTGGAGGCCTATGGTCGGAGCAAAGCCTCAGTTAACGTGGTGTCCAGCTACCTGAGCAGCAGGAAGCAGCAGGTAAAAATTGGCGCCAACTGCGGGGACTGGCTGGAAGGGCTGAAGGGGGTACTGTACCGTACAACAATAGGGCCAGGCCACTTCTGTTGACCAGGTAGCCTAATCGATTTGAACGA